CATAGGAAACATAGAAACATTTTCTTTTCTAGACGGGCACCCCTGAAGACTAGAGATAAGAATCACTTTAAATATGAATTATTGATCCATTCCTCTAAGGCTGGGTAATAACGAACACTGTTTGTTCTTTGTAGAATTTAACATCTGCCCAACCCACTTATAGCACATGGAGTTTGGCCTTACCTCACACAGCCATACTGGTTGCTTTTGACCCTGGCATGTATCTTACTGAGATCTATCTTGAGTGGAGGGAAAAGATTAATAGAATTGATTTTGAGTGCACTAAATTCTACCCATGACAGACATGTTTCAGGCAGCTTCATGGAATTACTCATAGAGACCAAAACAGTTATTTCTGGACCTGGGGCTTCTTTGGTCACCTACTTCCCCACTGGTTGGCCCAGTCCCTGATTCCTATAGCAGACCTACTTAGGAAGGCTGGTGTATTTTCTTGGTTGCATTTTTCTGTAGCCTTTTAATCTCCACAGATGAGACAACTTAACATGCTTTTGCCACATGTGGCCAGAGATCTGCTTTGTGACAGCATCAGGACCAATCTTGTCTTGGACAGAGGGCTAGAAAAGACCTTGGACCTAATGTTAGTATCAGGTCATGGTGGTTCCTGGCTCCACCCTGGCTCCAGAAATTGGACTCTTATCTTGTCCGTTCACTTTATAAATGTTGATTGAGCATCTGCTATGTGCCAGGCCCACAAATATGGCAGTAACTAAAATAGATAGAAATCCCTGCCCCTCTTTAACTTCTGTTTCATTTTAAGAAACTACCATTTTGTCCTAAATTTCAATTGTCATTCCCTGGTCAGTAAGTCACTTCTTCTAGAACAGTATTTCTTTTTTCTTTCTTTTTTTTTTCAGAGAGAGAGAGGGTGCAAGTGAGGGAGGGGCAGAGAGAGAGAGAGAGAGAGAGAGAGAGAGAGAATCCCATGAGGGGCAGAGAGAGAGAGAGAAGCAGGGGTCACCTGAAGCGGGGTTCATGTTCACTTAAAGTGGGACTTGAACTCAGAAACTGTGAGATCATGACCTGAGGCAAAGTCAGATGCTTAACGACTGAGCCACCCAGGTGCCCTAGAACAATATTTCTTAAACTTCAGTGTGCATTCAAATCACTTGGGTAAATGCACATGTTAGATTCTGCACATCTAACAAGCTCCCAAACGATACTGTGAGGATGCTGCCTGGCTTACGTGTTGAGTAGCAAGTATGGGCACCCAGCAGCATTAGCACCACCCATGAATTTGTTAGAAATGCAGATCCTTGGGCCTTGCTTCAGACCTACTGGCTCAGAATCTATCCTTCAACAGGATCCCCAGGAGTTGAGAAACATGTAGAGCACTGATTCCCAAAGCACATGCAACATTAGAAGCTATAGGTGACAGTCACAAAATACCTGTGGGTCTCATTCCCCCTTCCACAGAATTGGATTACCTGGCAGCGAGCACCCCAGGTGATTCTGATGGATACCAGGTCTGAAAACTCACAAGAGCATTTTCGGAGGACAATTTCTGAGCTTTGTGGCACTTCCCCATGGAAACAGCCTTAGAGACGACTTCATGATAGTCATCTGAGATTGTGTGCTCCTCTGAAGTTATCCTCACACGAGTCCCAGATAAGAAACTGAGGCCAGGTTCTTGTCCAGGGTCACATGGTTATAAATGGCGAAGTCTGGCCTGCAACACACGTGCAGTTCTTCCACCACAGTCCTGCTTCCTACCCACCACAGGAATGACTCTCCTTGACTGTGACCCAAATCTTTCCCTCCTCCAGCAGAGTTTCAGCCCATTACCTCTAAGCCTCCACACCCTCACAAATTCTTTACTGCTATCCTCTCCCCACCCACATCACCTACCAGCCAAACCACACATTTAATTGGTTGACTTTCCCCAAAGACTGTTTCTGTCAGCCTTTGATGATCGTGGCTCTTCTTGGGGCAGGTGAAGTATGTGGGTGGGAAGGGTGTTGCCCTCTGGACTTCCATCCATCTTTCAGGAAGGCTGTTCAACTTTCTGCTCTTTGTCTTCTGTTCTGGCGTCCCTCTCAATAAGTGTTCTGCAGCCTTCTGGAATGTATGTGAGCACCTCCTCTCTTTGCTCTCAGCTTCAAGAGTTCCTCACTCTTTCAGATTGGCCGCTTTCTTCCCTCCCTATCCTATTCGGGGAGGTGCTGCTCACCAGTGAAGTTCAATGGACACACTTGGAACTTACGGTCTAAGATAGGGGTCCTAGCTTGGCAACCACATATTCTAACCCAGTACTTTTCAATCTTGAGTGTACCTTAGAGTCTCTTAGGGAGTTTAAAAAACCCCATGTCATGGGACGCCTGGGTGGCTCAGTCGGTTAAGCGTCCAACTTCAGCTCAGGTCATGATCTCGTGGTTCGTGAGTTCAAGCCCCGCTTCGGGCTCTGTGCTGACAGCTCGGAGCCTGGAGCCTGTTTCAGATTCTGTGTCTCCCTCTCTCTCTCTCTGACCCTCCCCCGTTCATGCTCTGTCTCTCTCTGTCTCAAAAATAAATAAACGTTAAAAAAAAAAACAAAACCCGATGTCTGGACTGCACTCAGATTGATTAATTTAAAAACTCATGTGGGAGATAGGCATCAGTGGTTTATAAAGCTCCCCAGGTGGTTCCAATGTGCAGCCAAGGTTGAGGGCCACTGGAAAATCCAGGTAAAATTGTTTCTGGATAAGCATATGTGCACTTCCTGGCAAAGCTAAGCCATAGCTTTTAGCAGATTCTCAAAGGTGTCCATGGCACCTTCTTCCTTCCCTTTCCCCACCTCAAAAAGGGCTCAGTGACTGGTCTAAGATAATAAATAGGCAGGGAAAACTTGCCAATTTTTAAGGAAACACCAAATACATGTGTTAATTAAATAAGTTAGGCATTAGCATGTAGAGCAGAGAAAGTACCTGTTGTTGCTTCTTGGGAATGTTCTGTTTGGTGGGATGGGAGAGTCCCTATCTCTCCCAATTAGCCAGGAAAACTGTGTGATTTCAGATGCTGCCCCTACACAGGTCTGATCACATCACCTAACTGTCCCACGGCTACGGGACCACAACATCCTGGTTTCTTCATGGCCTAGCTCCAGCCACCCTTTCTAGCTCATCTCCCTCACTTCTTCACACACTTGAGCCCCGAGAGGATGCTCACTGTTCAGTTTGCACACACCGTGCCTTTGCTGTTATTCTTTCCCAGGCTCCACCCCCTTCCCCAACTCTGCCTGCCTTGGGATGGGCCTAGGAGGGGAGGAAGATAGAAGAGAATGGCTGGAGGTGGGTTCTCTGGGGACAGAAGGTACTCAGTTACATTGGTCAAAGTGAGTAGGGCAGCGACCTCAGGAGTTCCTGCTTGGGGAGTAGGGGGATGATGTACAGAGATTCAGAGAAGTTGTGGCCTTCGAGAGACTAAGATGCCAGTGTCGGGGAGGTGGACCAGTGATTTGAGGAGTGCAGGGAAGCATACTAGGTGCTCTGAGAGGAATATGTGGAGGGGACCTGTGGGGTGGGAGGAGGAGTGGAGGGTCTGGAAAGACTTCATCTAGAAAGGGACTGATTCCCAGTGTCCCAGAAAGGACCCCAGTGGAGAGAGATGGGCCTAATCAGGAGGCTGAGACTAGATTATAGAGGGCATTGAATGCCAACCTGAGGACACTCACCACACACAGACTGAGCCCAGCTGGTGCCCCCAGGTCTTGCCAGCTTTTAGTCTTTCTCCCTCAGGAAGTCTTTGCTATATGAAGCTGTTGAGGCATAGGAGCTAATTTTGAAGCTGTGTCATCTGCCTAGGGGTGTCTAAACTTGGGAAGGTGCTAGCTTTTTGCAGGGAGCCTCGGCCTTCTGTAGAGTCTCCTTTCCCACACTGCCCATGTTCCCAGGCCCCTAGAACAAGTCAGGGAGCCAGGATCTCTGACCCTATAGATAAGAACAATGACTGTACTTCCCAACCATAAGTCAGGTGGGACATAGGTATGAAAGTGGACTGGAAAATGGGCAGTTAGAGGCCTCTCAGAATAGCAGAGGAGGAGTGGAGTAACCTCCAGATCCTTGGGTTTGAAACCCCGTGCTAAGTGCTGGGAATTCAGTGTTGACTGACACCACACAGACACTGCATCTAAAGCTCTGCAAGAGTAGATGTTCAATAAATGTTGAATATCTGCTTTCCTGGGCTGAGAATCCAGGTTAAACAGTTGTACCTGCCCCCCCCCCCCCCCCGCAAAGAGGTGGATGCCCCTCCCCTAAGGCCTTCACCCCTTCCACTTGGGCTACCAGGATTCTCTAATTGTTCTACACTTTAATAAGGCACAGAGGGCTCATTATGTATATCCGGGAAATCCTCCCTTCCAATCCAAATCAGGAATTACATCTGTATTAATAAACATTTTAATTAACACTTACCAACTGCCAACAAAGTGTTAGGTGTAAATAACAGGTGGGTGCAGGTTGAAGTAATGAGACTAGACAGTCGCTGCTTCCTTTCTATTCCATTCAGAAATTTCAAGAAATAATTCATATGCTATCTCTTTTTAGAAACAAGCTTATAAATTCTCCTGAACCCCGAAACTATTAATACACAAATACTTATCATTGTTTGCCATTTAAACATAAATATTAATAATTTAACTTTGGCATGGTGCCTCTCATCTCAGATTCATTTATTCTTTCACTCAGCAGACAGTCAAAAGGTGTTGGAGGCACTGTTCTTGGTGCCAGGATACAGCAGTGAGTGAATAAGACAAAGTTCCTGATCTTAAGAAGTTTACATTGTGGTAGGCAAAGACAGATAATAAGGAAGTCAACAAATACACCAAAAAATACTAAATGGTGAGATGTGCGGTAGGAAAATGTAAAGTGGGGTAAGGAGAATAGGGAGGGTGTGTGTGTGTGTGTGTGTGTGTGTGTGTGTGTGTGTGTGTGTGT